TACATTGGGCATACTATCAGGAGGGACCAGTCTCTGGAAACGGATATTATGCTTGGTATAGTGGAGAGACAGCAAAATAGAGGGAGACCCCAATGAGATGGACTGGCACAGTAGCCACAGTGGACCAAGTGTAGCAGCAATTGTAAGGATGGTGCAGGACCAGGCGATGTTTCATTCTATTGTACATAGAGTTGCTATGTGTCAGAAACAAATCAATGGCACTTAACAACAACATTTTAAGGATAATCTCATAAATGAGCTGGGTTCCTCTTTTAATCTTGAAACTGTACTTCTTGTTTTAAAGTCAAGAGATAGCAGTTTACAAATATGTATTTTCAATAGTTATAAACAAACAGATTTTCCAGAGTTAGTGCCTTTTGATGCCCTCAAGTAAGCATCAATTAATGTAATGATGAAAACTAGAACAAGGAACTAGTTTGAGTTTATAGTGTGGTTTTTGTATCTTTGTAATAACTTTTTGAAAGCAGTTGCATCTAATACTGTGGGAAAACTCTTTGCTTATTCCAAATTCTGAGAGATTTTATGTTTGGCTTTGGCTTCTTGAGGAAAAAAAAAAAAATCAGTTTCTGCTGAGTTTATTGCGTCAGAGAACTATATAGAGTTTTCAAGGGCTGTGTGATGTTTTGGAAGCAGATTTCATTCGAGGCACTTCTGGGTGAATTCAAACCATCAGCTTTTCAGTCCTTAGTTGAGCACTATTTGGGCTACCTTTTGGCTTGTTGGATGTCTTAATAATCTCCTGAAAATGAGTGGAATTCTGGTGAAAAAGTAAGGAAGAGGCTTGACTGAGAACAGGAGTAGGAGCAAACACATGTGACATTATAAATCTCTCCCAAAGTCTATTAAGTACAAGGAAAAGTATATGACAACACCATAGAGATGCTTCACACAGTGTTTGTATGTGTGTGTGTGTGGCCTAGGTGATGGTGAACATTCTGAGAACCCTGGATGCAGTGTTTACATGTATGTCCTTTTAACAGTATTTCATAAACCACTGTGCCAAATATTTTCTCAGGAACCTAGGCCAATTGGTTCAATGTAAGGTAATTTGTGTGAGTGATCATTGCAGCCCAGCTGTTCTCCACCCAGCACTCCCTGCCCCGTAAACAGAGCATAGGTCTGTGCACAGCTGCAGGCTGATGTCAGTTTGGGACTTGGACTGCAACTGGGGCTACTGTAATAACAGCAGGAAGCCACCCGCTCCCTCCCTCCCTCCCTCACCTGACCTGTTTTCTTCTGTTCCCCTTTTCATCCCCTCCTCTTTGTCCTCTGTTCACCTAGGCTGACTGACCTAAACATGATGTGGGATTCATTCGTTTGTTTTTTAAATAGAGGAAACAACCCTGTCGAGTTGCTAATGTGAGAGGATATCCACATATCCTCTTGGATGCACCATAATTACTTTATTCAGTCTGAAAGTAGTTTGATTATAAGCAGATATATTAAAATTATTGTTGTTGTTGTTAAGTGCCATCAACTCAGTTCTCATAGAGGCCCTGTATAGGGTTTTCAAGGAGCAGCTATTGAGTTTGAACCACCAACCTTGCAGTTTAGTGCATTATATTTCCATAGTGCCACCCCAGGACTCCTTAAAATTAGGCAGATGTTGACTTCTACATGAAAGCTCTTATAGACCAAAATATGAAATGAGTTTGTTACTAAGTAATTGAATTTACTTAAAAATTTCTCTGACTTGAACTTTCAGATGGGCTTTTGTAGTTAGGTG